ATTATTTACAATAGTCAAGTGTCCATCAATATATGAATGGAAAAAGACGTTTATACATATAGGCACACATACATACACATACAATGGAATATTAGTTGTAAAAAGGAATGAAATCTTAACATTTATGACAACATAGATGGACCTAGAGAGTATTATGCTGTGTTATACCCAGATCGCAGTATCCTCACCGACCAGAGACCACCAGGGAGACTGAGTCACACATGTAAAGGCAAAGGGCTTTATTACGGGCTTAAGCTCGGGCTCACAGACTTCACCAGCGCATGGGTCCGTGCTGAGAGCCTCGAACAAGGGCAGAGTAGGGTTTTTATGGGGTTTGAGATGGGGGAAGTTACAGAAGTTGTGACATGGGAACAGTGATCCAATCATAATTATTCAATATCATTGACAGCGGGTTTGACCATACACATTGTCTAGAGTATTCGTTACTTTTGGCGGGATCCAATTACAACATTTAGAGTACCTTTAAATTCAACCAATCACAGAGCGAGCCTAGCGGGGGGGAGAGTTGATGGGCAAAATAAGTGAAGGGGATTAAGAAGTACAGACTTCCAGTTATAAAAGAAGTAAGTTGGGACTGACTACAGCATAAGAAATGTTATTGTAATAACTTTGTTGACAAAAGCTGTATATACTTATAATTAACATTTTATAATGTATGTAATGTCAAATCACAATTACATACAATCAATTATGTATGTAATTGTCAAATTGTACACCTGAAACGAATATTGTATGTCAACTATAACTCAATTAAAAATGAAAAAAAATTGTATAGAAAATAGTACAAATTAATATTTCTTTTCTTCCTCTTAATTCGTTTAAAAAGCAATTGTATAAAGTAATATAATGGATTGTCATGCCTATAACACAGAAATTAATATATGTGAAATATGTTTGCCAATAATAGTACAATGGAGGTGGGTAGGAACAAAGCTATACTGGGGTAAGGATATGACTACAGATGGTAAAGTAATAATTGTACCAAAGTATTTTTGGATGTGTAACATTAATTGATGTGATATATAACAAAATACCACAAAGGGAGGGAAGAGGGAATAGAGCTATGTAGGAGTAAGATTTCTGTTTCATTGGAACTAGCTAGTATAAATCCCAGCTACCTCTGATTAGTTAAAATGTAAACGGCATATTTTTGAGTTATTGTTTTAGTGATTTCTCTAGGGTTTACTATTTACAATGTTTGGAGTTTCTTGGATGTGTTGGTTGTAATTTTTGAATACATTTGGGAAGATTTTAGCTCTTATTTCTTTGTATATTTTTTCTGCTTCTTTTCATTCTCTTCTTCTGGTATTCCCATTATGCACATGTGCTCCATAGTGTCGCACATTTCTCTAAGGCTCTCTTCATTTCTCTTTATTCTTTGGCTTGTATTATCTCCATCTATTTCCTAGTTAGCTTATTCTTTCTTCTGCCAGTTCAAATATACTGTTGAGCCCATAATAAAGTTATTTCAACTCCAGAATTTCTATTTGGTTCATTTTTTTTTTTTTAAATATTTTTATTTATTTCTAGGAGAGAGAGAGAGAGACAGCGTGAGCAGGGTAGGGTAAGAGAGAGAGGGAGATACAGACTCTGAAACAGGCTCCAGGCTCTGAGCTGGCAGTCAGCACAGAGCCCGACGCGGGGCTTGAACCCATGAACCGCGAGATCATGACCTAAGCGAAAGTCGGACACTTAACCGACTAAGCCACCCAGGCGCCCCTATTTGGTTCATTTCTATAATTTCTGAGTTACATCCCTCCTGTAGGGGCTGAATATCTCTTTATTGATATTCTCTATTTGATATGACATTATCATACTGATGGGGGAGTGTGGGGCAAACGGAGGGCAAAATATAGGCTAACAGCACCCACCCCCAGGTGGGATATGTTTGATATATGTGATATGTGACTTATGTTCCCCTGATATACATCTTAAGTGTCTCATACTGAGGTTTTATTAAATGGTAATAATTGGTGTTTCCCTACCAACAGCCTGCCCCTCAAGGTCCTGGAAACCTTGCTTCCAAAATGCCTTAGAGACTTATTCTATCCGTGACCCATCTGAGGTTATAAAATGAGTTATCCATCATGACCCCAGTGCAGCTCTTCTGCCTATGGGTCCTGTCCCACTGCTTTAATAAAATCACCTTTTTGCACCAAAGATGTCTTCAAGAATTCTTTCTTGGCCATTGGCTCTGGACCACCCCACCATCACCCCAAAACTTCATCAATATCTTTCTTATTTAATCCCACTTTTCTTTAGCTCTGTGAAAATATTTATAATGGCTAGTTTGAATTCTTTTTCTGATAAATCTGACATCAGGTTGCTCTCACAGGCAGTTTTTATTGCATATTTTTCCAGTGTATGAGTCATACCTTCCTGTTTCCTTGCATGCTTCCTTGTTTTTTGTTTGGAAACTGGCCATTTAATATATTACTAGTACCAACTCTGGGTACTTGGGTACTTGTTTTTCCTCCCTCTTCCTCCTCACTTTGTTATTGTTATTTGCTTGTTTATTTGTTTAGTGGCTGGCTGGGTTATTTTAGTAAGGTTTACTCTCCTCCCCTTAAATTTTGATGTTTTTATCCTAGTATTATGATAATTTGGGTACAGCTCCCTTTCTCCCATTTCCTGACCACACCCAGCTGTTAAATTTCAAAAGTTTTCTGTGTGATTGTTCTATTATTTTCAATGCCGTCCTGAGATATACATTTCTCTACAAATGGATCCAATCAACTTCTGGGCCCTTTGAAGCAATATTTTATGAGGTCAGTGTTACTATCTGTTCTCACTCAAGGAGGACTTCCCTCAACTGTCTTTATCTTTGTTCTCTCCAGCAAACTAGCAAACTTACAATTTAGCCCATATCTTCAATCTCCTCACAATTACCTAACACCACAACCCCCAGGTTTCTGAAAGCACTGCTTGGCTTAAATTTCTCCATGTTTGTTGCAAATGGAGTCACTTCCTTTTGGAAGAGATTTAGAGCTACCTGTTTCATGGACTGCCTGCTCTCCCCTCCCCTTCCCCCCTCCCCCCCATTAGAGAGCCAGGGCTTTGGGGCAGAGATAGTGACAAACTGAGTCACATATCTGCTCTTAGGGGCTGAACTCTAGGTAGAGGAGGGGGTAGTAGCCTGAGGTCCTCTGGCAATCTCTGTGGTTTGAACTACCGCTTCTGGAGTGTGGGTGATTTGGACCCTAGTATTCCCAGCATTCCAGCCCAAGGTTGATCCTCTATTCCATGAGTGGACTGGATGGGAGAAAGAATTCTCTATTGCTCAACCATGCTTACCCAGGATATAGCTGTAGTGTCAGGTACTAGGGGCTGGGTGAGAACTGCTGACATTCTGCTCTACCCACTGGGACTGTGGGGAGAGGAGGTCCTGTGTTCTTGATTGCAGCAGAGTGGGGTCTCTGCTGAGTAGAGAGGGTGAATCGGTCTTGGTTGAAATACCACAGATTCTCACTCGATTTTCTTATCACATTTTCATAGACTCCCTTGAATAGATGTTTTTTCTTAGGACTATTTCCAAGGGTTTAAATGATTATTTGTTGTTGTTTTAAAATTTTTAAATGTTTGTTTATTTTTGAGAGAGAGAGCATGAGCAGGTGAGGGCAGAGAGAGAGGGAGACACAGAATCTGAAGCAGGCTCCAGGCTCTGAGCTGTCAGCACAGAGCCCAACGTGGGGTTCGAACTCATTAACTGTGAGATCATGACCTGAGTCGAAGTCGGACGCTTAACCGACTGAGTCACTCAGGTGCCCCTAAATGATTATTTGTTTGCTTGTTTTAAAAAAATTTTCAGCAGTTTCACTGGGGAGTGGGTCATCTTGAGCTCCTCATGCTGTCAGGCCAGTAGTTAATCTCTTGGTGTTATTCTTGCAACTTTCCTATAAGCTTAAATTGATTTCAAGAAAAGTTAAGAAATAAAAAAAAAGACACACAAGAAAGTGGCTATTAGGAATAAACATTAAAATATAAAGTGCTTTTGCATTTGCAATTGATTATTATTCCCATAAATTGGTATCCAAACACTAGCAGTGCTTGCTTGCTCCTCAATGACAAAACTACTTTCAACAAACACTCTGGGTTCATGGCATATCCAGTTATTTAGGAAGAAGACAATTTTACTTTACCCTTCAAGTCTCTTTTGTCTGGTCTAAGAATTAAATTGGCATATGACAGATTAACAGGAAAATATAAAATTTAATTTCCTACCTATCAGGCAGTCAGTCATGTGAGGCTTCTGTATCATTCAGAGATAAAGAGAAGGGAGGGGTCAGGACGGGGACCTCAAAGGGAAGGAAGACAATTCACAGGAAGATGAAAAAGAGTAAATGTTTGGTAAACAAATGTTTGCTGGGCCTGACGGAAACATTGGGACAGTGAGAGGAATTTTAACAGACTTTGCTAAATTCTTCCCTGTCTAAAACACCTAGTTCATATTATACTGTAGTCCACTGTGGGATTAAGTCCCTTTCTAGAGCACGTCCAAATTCGTCTACACAGTTAGAGGGAGGGTCCGAGTTTTTTGTTTCTTAAAAATAATCACCCAAAACATCCACATGCCAAAGAAACACATTTTGGGGTGATATTTTTCTCCCCTACTCAGTGATAGAGGGTAGTAACAGCTGGTTGACTGTGGCACAGGAGTGTTTTAATTCAAAAGGACTCATTAGGGGCTGTGGGGGGAGGGTCTGTGAGCCTAACACAGTGAACCTAAGGCCATCAAGCTTTCTTAGCGATTTTTCCTGGGTGAGCATGGCCGATGGAGGCGTGACTGGCAGGAAGGGGCCACGTCCGCTTCCAGGCTTAGGCTTTCAGTTTCCTTTCTCCATCTTGACTACGATATTCTGCGTCAGTGTCAGCGAAGCCTGACAGGGCGGCCTAAGAGTCCCGCGGTGAGCAGGACGGTAAGGGCCGAGGGCTTTCCCCCCCCTCCCCCGCCCCCAGCTCCCCTCCCCCCTCCCCACATCCAAGACTCGAGGCTGGCGGGAGGGGGGGGGTCCTCCCTTGCCGCCCCTCCCGCCCTTCGCAGCTACTCGCGGACGCCCTTCCCGGAACTGGTCTAGGGCGGGAGATGCCAGGCAGGGGTGCGGGAAGAGTGGCCGGTGACTCAGTCCTGTAGGGTTCTTATCTCCAGTTGGACCGGCAGGCACCCTCGTGGGGGGGGTGGGGGGGGTGGGGAAGGGGCGGCAGGGGGCGGTGGCATCGGGATGAACCGCCAGACGAACCGGCCCCCTCTCCCCTGCCCTCCTTTACCCCCAGTTCTCAGCAGGGCTGCTGGAGGCTGCCAGCGTCCCGGGCGTTGCCCCGCGAGCCCCTACCCACCAGCCCACGTAACCCTTGCCTAACAGTGAAGCTGCAGAGGACGAGTAAACGTTGCTGAAAATTGAGAGTTGCTCAATTCCTGGAGTAAACTGTTCAAAAGAATTGGCTTTTTACTTTCGAAAAGTTGATAAGAAGCCTTTTCCCCGCAGGAGTACGTATGTGTTTCCGCCAGGGCAGCCGACCAGGCAGGAATTTTTACTTTCTCCCCGTAGCCTGGTGAAGTAGGTCAGGGTTGTTGTTTTTCACAGCTGTGCAATATGTATTTTGGCAAACTGCAGGGAGACTTTGCGAAAGTTTGGAATGACTGGTAAGATTTTGGTAAATCCTTAGCATAAACTTTTTCCCCGCTCCCATCCTCCCCCTCAAAAGAACTGGAAAATGTTGATTTCAAGATATTCTTTTTTGACTATGTCCGGATTGGGGCAGGAGGACATGTTCCTTTTAAACATTAACAGTGGAACAAGGCCAGTGAAGTACGTTTTTGGTTCAAGCGAACAGGAAATGAGTAAGGGCGTGGGTTAGTAAGGACGCTAAAGCTGCCTATTTTCATTTGTTAATTTTTGAAATGTGTTTACGCAATGAGACTGTAGTGTCATTGAGAGAATATGTCAAGCATTTGGACACCAACAGTAATCTACCCGGGTAATCTAAAACTAAACTGGGCTCTGGTGGGCTTGACCTACTTTAGTTAAGATATTTCAGATATGAGGAACAAAATTTTTGGTATTTTCCCTCCGGTGGTACTCCTAAATAATCTTACCAAAAAGTTTCATTAGGAAAAAAAACTTGGCTTAACTCCAAAATTAAAAAAAAAAAAGAAGACTCGAATTTCAAAAGGAATTTTGAATGTTTGCCATACAGAAATTTTCACTTTTCATGTTACCTTGTGTTTTACTTACAGCTTCTGGGATGGAGGTCCTGATTAAAATAGCCTTTTCTAACGACTTCATGTTTTATATTTCTGTTTGTTACCCGACTTTTGCACTTACCTTTAACACTATATTACTTACTAGCTCGCATCCGCTTTAAGGTGAATGAATCCGCCTGCAGGTGTGCAGGGGTGAAGTGCACCTTGTCTCTTGGGAGGGGTGGCGGGGGGCCTACTGCAAATTGAAACGGAAGTAGGTTTGGTCTCTGCGGTGCCCGCGAGTCCGACCCTTACTCTCGGTGGGGAGGTGGGGCGTAGCCGCCGCACCCGCCGAGTCTCCCCGAGCAGCACGTTCGTTCCCGGGAGCGCCACGTGGGCCCTTTGCTTACGCAATGGAGAGTTTCGGGACAGCAGCGCGTGTGCTCTCGTGGAGTTTTTTAGGTGCGGGGGCTGAGGGTTCTGGAGCCTTAAGTCTCTTGTGGGCGGCGTGGAAGAGGCGCACAGGGGCTCAGCTAGAAGAGGCTCCCGGAAAGCCCTCTGGGGAATGTACCTGTTGATGAGTGCGACGCCCACCTCCAGTTCCGGAGTCCTCCCAACGCGGTTTCTCCCAGCGGCAGGTCCCGCACTGGTGGGTGTCCTTCCCGCCCGAGATCCAGTGGGAAGAGCGGGTCTACCCGGGCGTGAGTAGACTAAGAATCCTGTCCGTCTCTCCTTTCTCGACCTGCGCCCCCTTCCGGGAGTCGCCCTGGGCTCCGGGACTGTCTGGGCACTCACTCTCTCTGACCCTGGCAGAAAAGGATTGAGCCGCTTTTAGCCCTTGCTGGTTCTGGAACTTCCTGGGGACTCACCTACAGCAGCCTAAGTCTCGAGGCGTGTCGCTTTTTTTTTTTTTTTTTTTTTTTTTAATAAGCCTGAGGAACGGACTCTGTTGGGTTATTTCTTCTTTTGTAGGGCCGCAAAAGTTAATTAAACTCGTGTTTATGGACTGAACTGACTCCTTTCCTTTGATTCAGTGTAATCCTACCAACGTTTTCTGAGCTTCTATGGGCCAGGCCGAATTCTGGGTGCTGGGGTCATAGAGACGGAACTGAACTTGGTTCCTTCCCCCAGAGGCCCTCAGAGTGCTTGGGGAAGACGGAGCAAAGTTATCTACACTGGTAACTTGGACTCAAGACGGTCTAGAGGGAGGCCACTGACGGGAGGAACGGGAGGAAGATGAGGGGGCCAGTTGGAGCAGTAAGTCAGGTAACAGAGGGCAACGTGCACTCAACCTTCATTCTTGTTTTCCTTACTATACATCAGTGAGGTAAGAAACACTATTATTGCAATGCCCTATTTCTCCTTTATGTTCAGCTTCTGTAATCTCCTCTTGGAAGACTTCATAACCCACCCACAAACGCTCCCTTTTTCTACACTTTCATACACTCCATGGCTGTCTTTACACATAACCATAGAATCCCACTTAGCACTTAGAAACTTTTCAGTTAGTTGTATTACAATTTTCTGTGTTAAAATTCACGCAGAGTAAATAGAGAAAGCCCTCAGGAGTCTATTCCCTAACATAACCAAAGGTTGCAGTGTAGTGTCTTTTTCAGACATTTACACACCCAAATTCAGCTTTTTAAGTGTTTTTAAATATACATTTTTTGCTCTTTTGTTTTCTTGTTTTGTATGACGCTGTTCAACAGCATTTCAGAACTTTTTTTTTTCTATTAACATCTTTACTTTTCTCAGATGTAATTTCACACCCCTCTGATGTCAGTGTTTCTAATGAGAGAGTTCCCCCCCAATGACCACCTTTCTTGATTCTGAGAATATGTGTATCTACAATTTACATTTAATTCATCTGATTGCTCATATGCCTCCAGTGTTTTTTGTCCCTCAATTCTGGTTTAGAGAAGTAATTTCTTCTTTGACTCCATGCACATATGAATGAATGATGAATATGTATATATTTTAATATTTTCTTTCTAGATAAAATTGCTTTTTTCTCTAATGGTCTCTGCTTTTAGCCACATTGTCTTTATTTGGTCTTTTAAGTTTTTGTGCAAAAAACAGCTTCCTCATTGTTTTCCTCTTATTCTATATGTTGGGTTGTTATTTTAGGTAATTTAGTACTTATGAAAGAATTAAACTTCACCAATGTGACACCAAGCTTATCTATATATTCAAGATGGTTTGTGTCTTCTACATGGAGCCCTTTGATTGGAGAAATTAACCCATTTTATTTACATTAAAATCTATATACTTCAGTTTTTCAGTGTAATTGAAAAATCCTCTTGTAGCTATGTGCTCCAAGGTTTAAAATATTCCCCAGGGTGGGGCGCCTCGGTGGCTTAGTCGGTTAAGCGTCCAACTTTCGCTTAGGTCATGATCTCGCGGTTCGTGGGTTCAAGCCCCGCATCGGGCTCTGTGCTGACTGCCAGCTCAGAGCCTGGAGCCTGTTTCAGTCTGTGACTCCCTCTCTCTCTGACCTTCCCCTGCTCACGCTGTCTCTCTCTCTCTCTCTATCTCCTAGAAAAAAAAAAAAAACATTTAAAATATTCCCCAGGGTAATGGCTTCATTTTATCATCTGATAAGCTTCCATATCTACTTGTCAAGTTCTTGAGTTGTTTTTTTTTTAACTTCTTTCAGATCTTTCTATTAGCTTACTATATTTTGTTTGTTTATTTTGGTTTTGGACTTTACCTGAAGCTTTCAACAAGTATAGTTTTTAAAATCAGTGATCTTTATTTCAAAGGGTCGACACATGAAGATCTTGCTTGGATGCTATCTGGTGAATAAATTAAATTCCTTGCAAGAATTACTGAAGCTTGATTCAGAGTTGAATAAAATAAATAAATAATTCCCTTCATTTAGCATTTACTGAGCATCTGCATTTACCGAGTCTATCTTTTCACCCGGGTTGTAAACAGGAATGCCAAAGAACTTAGAAAGAGGAATGAAGCAGGAAATAAGCTGGAAACAGGTACCAGAAATAGTAATGGGGTTGAAACAAATGAAGAAATTTTTCTTTTTTACTTTTCTCCATTTTCCAGATTTTCCAATAGCATGCAAGTAGTGCTTTTTATAATTAGAAGAAAGAATGCTATAAAAATAAGTTTAAGAGCTTTATATCTCTAGTATTATGTATAACTTGTGATTTGGAACAGGACTTGGCCCTTTAGCTACTAGAGGATCCATTGTATAAAATGAGCAAATATACCTATTAGGTTGAATTTGTTTAAGTTTATTTATTTATTTTGAGACGCAGAGTGCAATCAAGGGAGGGACAGACAGAGAGGGAGAGAGAGAGAACCCCAATATGGAGCTCAAACTCCGGAACTGAACCGTGAGATCACGACCTGAGCCGAAATCAAGAATTGGACTCCCGGGGCACCTGGGTGTCTCAGTTGGTTAAGCATCCGACTTTGCCTAGGGTCGTGATCTCATGGTCTGTGAGTTTGAGCCCCTCATCGGGCTCTGTGCTAACAGCTCAGAGCCTGGAGCCTGTTTTGGATTCTGTGTCTCTCTCTCTTTGTCCCTCCCCAGCCTGTGCATGCACCCTCTCTCTTGCTCTCTCTCTCTCTCAAAAAATACATAAATTAAAAAAAAAAAAAGAGTTGGACTCTCAACTGACTGAGCCACCCAGGCACCCCTAGGTTGAATTTTTAATTCAAGCTAGTTTTGTATAGATGGGCCTCAGAGAATATCTACTAAATATTTTATTTTACTGTGGCATAACTGATACCTTGGACAGATAAGGTTGTTTCTTGACCCTCTTTCGAGTATTTTGATGAAAACCTTGAGAAGAGGGAAGGTGTATCTTCCTGATAGCAGTTGCATGGTGATAAAGATGACACCAAACAGCCGTAGGATAGTGTGAAGCATTTACTGCATTCATCAGTTTACTCTGAGGCTTCAATTTCCTCAACAACAACAAAAAGCACAGGCAAACCTGAGTGTAAGCAAGATTCCAAATTTTAATGCTTCAGCAAAGCCAGAGTTCAGAGACCCAATCTTACTTCCAAGTAGTGCAAAGAAGGGCTGTGACCTAGCCTTAGTTCTTTGTAGGTGTCTGAGCCATACAAGGGATTAGTAATTTTTCTTAAGTTTGTTTATTTTGAGAGAGACAGAGGAGGGGCAGAGAGAGAGGAGAGAAAGGAATCCTAAGCAAGCTCTGAGCTCTGTGCTGTCAGTGCAGAGCCTGACGTGGGGCTCCAGCCCATGAAGCCATGAGACCAAGAGTTGGATGCTTGGCTGGCTGAGTCACCCAGGTACCCCAAGGTATTAGTAATTTTATTGATGTCCTATTTGAGGGAAGATTTCTTTAAATTTAGGCATCTTTGAGTCCCTCCTATGAGAATTATACCGCACACAGAGGACCAGCCTAGAGACTTAGCAAAAATGAAAATCCTTATACATAAATCTTAGGGTTTTAGAAATTGTGATAAGTGCA